TTCCACTTAAAATTGGTCTATCTAGCTTTGGAGGTTACGATAGAATTACGGTATGAAATCGTGAGTAGCTTTAGTACTGCCGTTGAGCACTTAGCGCAAACTTAGCTACAAAACCTTGCAGTATCAAACTGTTGTCATAACTGAGCTCACGAACCATTGAACTTGGATTGCACAAGCATCTGATGTCATTGAATTCACCTTTTGCGTCACATACCTGTTGGACGACAATGCTCCAACGCCAAAGCCACTTTTAATATTACATTGTAATCTCATTGTAAGGAAAAAGGTACGAGACCGTCTCTCTGCAGAATCTAAGTCCAACCTAGCCCTTTAAAGGAGCAAAGCTTAAAAATGATTAAGAAGTAGAAGTTATCAACGACCAGTTACTGAATACATCTCTTAGGGATACTGTTTATGATTCTAACTCCATGAAAAAAAGTTGAAAAAATTAGATCAATAGTTCAACAAACCAACTCAAGCAAGGGGAAGTGAAACATTCAAATCTGCAATAAATTTTTCACTAATTTTTATAAAGCATCATAGGTTTGCTTTGCAAACTCAAGTAAAAAGAGCCGAGTTGAAAGAAACGAAAAGAAAGGGAGCGTGAAAGTAGTGGGAGCCTCCTCATCAAAAATACAACTTATCAATTACCAACATTGATGATACCGCTCACTTCTCCCTTTCCTTCAAAAAAAAATGTCTTGTACTGGAACATATTAGACATTTTTGAAGAGCAAGAAAGATGAAAATGATTTGTGTCTCCGTCTTTTTGAGGAAATAAACCGAAGCAAAGCCAACAAAATCGACTAAATTGGGCGAAAAATGGAAGGAATATGTTCAAGGAAAGTTTTGAAAAACCCACCACTGCTAGGCGTAGGGTCAACTTCGGCAGCCCACTTGTCTATATCGCTTTCATCAACTAGCTCTGACGACTGGCCTCGACCAGGTGCAATGCTAAAACCCATACAACATTCTCTGAGTTTCGATGTGTTCTAAGAAAACGGACACCTACCTATTCGCCAACATTTTCAATTTCTCCTCTTCACTCAGCTCCTGGGTCTCTGGCACCGTGATAATGCTCGCTTCTTCATGTTTTGAGCCATATACATTCGGGACAAATCTACGACGTCGACGACTGTCATCTTCCCAGACGTCTAATCGCCAGAATAGTTGTCTAAAATGAAGCATCGAGAGTTCGAGCATGTTGAAGTCCATGTTCTCTAAACTTACTGCGCTTCTTCTCCTGAGCTCCATGCTCCGCTTGGGCTTCGGAGCACAGTCATCATGTTTCCAAGAAGTTTCGCTGCAAGACGGCAATCTCTTCGACGACCATTGCGGATCGCTTGAGCCCATCGACTTTCCTCTTCACCACGAATGTCCAGGTTCGTGCTTGTTTCGCTCTGAAAAAAAAA